TCACATAATTGAGACAAGGGATAATTAGGATGAACATAGTCAGAGTTTAAAGTTAAACCATTTTTATTTAGACACTTGAATAATAGTACGTTTTGATAGAGGACTTGAATGTATGATAATGTACTCATATAGACATTTTCACCTCAAATTTTAAGAAACACTCATTGGCATAGTTTTCTTTTTGTTGTATTAGTAATTGCGTGAATTTATTAATTGGGTGGGGTTTAATTAGTAATGGGTGGGTTGTTGATCGATTTATAAATTATAATAATAAATTAAATTATCAGAACTAGTTGAGCACTGCGTATTTAAAAAAAATTAAATAATCTAAATTTAAAATCTCTATACAATTGTCAATTTTGAACCCAAAGGTGGATGAGAAGGGTATTTTTTGGAGTCAATAGGTGGATATGCAGGGTATTTTAAAGTTAATAGGTGGATGAAGGGTAGTTTTGTACCATTTCTAATACTTTAAGAGTATTTTAGACTCTTTTTCGATTAATTTAACATGTAGCAACACATGTATGCATCAAGTCAACAAGTATAATTGGTTCAGGGTCATGAACCAATAATTTTCATCTAAAGTTTAAACGTGCGATATCTGATTTGATTACTCCACCACGCGCGAGATTGATTCCCAAATGATGTGGGATGAATGTTAGATTTTCTAACATTAGGGGGAGAAATGATTAACATCTGAAAAATTATGTGTGATGTTAATTATGAATTATCTAGATCCTCGTTAAAAATGTGAACTAAATGTTCAAGTAATAATTCATTTGCATAATCTTGTAAATATATTGCCAGATAAATTTGCTAACCCCATGTTATAATTCAGCGACAAAAGCTCCGATGAACAGTCCTTAAAGGACAGAGTCTGTGATACATCTAAAGCATGATAGACCAATCAATTTTAAATGTAAAATTCTTTGAAGAAGGAGAGGAGCAAATTATTAACATGGTCATAATGATGAGGCAAGTGCTATAAAAGAGCATCTTGACGTAATACTTGATAAAACCTTGGAAAAGTTTAAGTACCTGAAAATAATAAAGAATAAACAGATCTCAATAAGTTATGTCATATTGGAATCAATATCAAATAGACATCGATGATATCTTTGATATGAAGTAGCGTTCAATAAAATAAATTGTGACGAGAATTTGAATTCAAATCTGTCGTATAGTGTTGACAGATAAATGATTGGCCAAGTAAAATTCAAAATTCAAGTATAGTTTGTTTCACTTAGAAAAGTGACGTTTTGGACTGACAGTCCATAAATCAAGATGTAATGTCAGTGAGGTATAAATAAATTAATATGCGATATTATAACTGTAAGATATGAATTATGACTCTTGCCTTGGGGCATAAAGGTTTGTCGCAAATATCCTAACATTATTGGTCTCCTATTGTTGATACAATTAAATTTTTTTTGATCTAGCAATATATGAAAGCTCGAATGCATATAATGAATAATTATCTTGTCTAGCTAGACAATACTAAACATGATATGAATATCCTTGAAAGAATGAAGGTGTTTGCAGCATATAAAAGTTTAAAAGAGGTTTTTCAGTAAAGGTTAAAGAAACCCTATATGGATTGAAATATTTAAGGAATAAAAGGGTAAGAATGAACTAATTGAACTAGAATTTTTATGAAAATGTGAGGATCTAAGTTTGTTAAAATTATTGTTTATGTCAATGACTTGAACATTATTAACATTCTTAACGAGATTTTAAAAGTTGTTGAGTATTTGAGAAAATCTAATATAAAAAGATTTCGGAAAGACAAATTTTGTCTTGACCTACAAGTTGAGAATTTGACAATTTGAATATTTATGCATCAATAAGCATATACAGAAATATTTTGATATGATTTTATGTGGATAAAAAAATTCACTTTGATCTCAAAAGAAGGATGAAGAGCTTCTTGGTGGTGAAATTTCATATCTTAGTGCAATTAGGGCACTAATGCATCTTGCTAGCAATACTCGACCAGATATTTGCTTTGCAGTAAATTACTATCAACATTAAGATCCTCCAAACAAAAGGATATTGAAATGGTGTTGAACACATGCTTGAATATCATCGATGGACCATAGACATGAGCTTATTCTATTCCGGGGAATCTAAGTCAAAACTGCTTGGTTAAGTAGATGCAGAATATTTATGTGACCTGTATAAAGCTTGGTCTCAAATATGATATTTGTTTACATGTGGGGACATCATAATATTTTGGCGATCAATGAAGCAAACGGTTGTAACCACTTTTTCAAATCATACAAAAATAAAAGCCTTCCATGAAGCAAGCCGCGAGTGTGTGTGACATATCATAACTTGCAATAGCCAAGAATAAGCTAAGAAACTAAAATTTTCAGTTTTTGGAAAGAATAGGAAAAAATTGAAAAATTCCTCAAGTATAAAATGTGAATTTTAGTCCATTTTCAAACGGTCATAACTTCTAGCTCAGAATGATTTAGAGCCAGTTATTTATATGGTTGGAAATCCCTTGAAGAGATATTTCCAACGTCATCGAGTTTGCGCATTTCGATATCGTATGAGGGAGCTATGCCTATCATAAGTTGGGCTTTTGGGTTGAGGAAGGTCCCCATCTGGGTTTTCAAAAGAGTAAACTTGTCATTTTACCCAACTATTCCCTAATTCGTTTAAAGGTTTATTAGGGGTAAAAGTAAACCTTAAATAATTTTTAAAACAGTATTCACACTTAGGGTTTAAGATAAAAGAGAAGAGAATAAGAAAAAGTGAGCAATGTTCAAGGATTTATCAAGAACGCCAAGATCATCGTGTGAAATTCATCGAGGGTGATCCCTATTAAGGTATGTGGATCTTTAGTGTTGAGCTAATTCACCCACACACCAATTTGTTTCAATTCAGCAATTTATGAGTTGATTTCATGTTAGAAGTTAAGTTCCTGAAGAAACGTTTTGATTTCTTGTTGATTTAATTATTGGCTGTATTGTTGGTTAAATTCTTATTTCTCTGATTTACTTTTGAGTTGAATTCGATAGTTATGAAGGTTACCCATATTACATGAAGTTTGGTGAAAGAACTAGGAAGGTTTGGCAGGTTTGGCGATGAAAAACGAGTTGAAAAATTTGTCAAACGCACTTGGGTAGGGACAGGCGCGGCGCGCCTACAGGCACAATAATTTGGTTGCAGTCAACTAAGGCTTGGCATGGTACACAACCATTGCGCCAGAACCCAGCTTCAGTAAACTAGCGTTGGCGCGCCGCGCCACCAGTGCGCCCGAATCAGTGTTTCTTGCCCAGTTTTCGTAGTTTAGCCATAGTAAGTCCTCCTAAGGTACATTAACACCTTCCGATGATTCTAATTACTTCAAATGATTTCTAAACACCCAAAAATCGCTAAAGAACACAAATCATAACCTTGAATCCATAATCTATCCAAGGAAAGTTAGATCAAAGTCAAAGAAGTTAATAGTCAAGTCTAAAGCTCAGGATCTAGATTAAAGCTAACTTCTAAAAGGTTTGAAAGAGTCTTTATTAAATGTTTTAACTTCGTTTTAAGGCTCAAGTTTCAAGTTAAAGTGAAGAGTAAAATTTGAAGTCTTTTCTTCAAATGAAAAATAAGGTAACTACGTATTCCCTAAGATTTGATTTATGATTCAAGTTCAAGTTAAGTAAAGTGTAAAGAGTTAAGTTCATTTCTCAATAGTTATAAGGGAACTAAGTATTCTGTAGAAGTATATAAATATTTTTTACATTTAAATTAAGAGTAAACTAAGATTTGCAAACAGAGTTTTGAACAAGGAAAGGGAATATTGATTCCAAGAGGACTTTTAAAGCTAAAAGGGTTGAGTAAATAATCTCAACCCAAAGGAAGGAAGTTATTTTAAAAGCATGAGCTAAAATATATTTTGGAAGTAGTATTGAGCACCGATGTGGGGATGCGAGTACATATTAACTCAAGTCTTCATGTAAATCATATAGACATTATGGGTTTTAATGGGTCATACTTTTAAGATGATCGCGTAAGTTAAGCTAGTGGATCCACTATATATATATATATATATATATAAACACACACACACACATATATATGTATGTATATATGTATATATGTATGTATGTATGTATGTATGTATGTATGTATACATTGTATGTATTTTATTTGCTTATACACAATGAGTTGAGTGTAGAGCCAAGGTAAGTTTCTTCCATTTCTTTCAAGCTTTAAGTTGTTGTTTAGCATTCCAACTTGCATACTCGTACACTCAATGTACTGATGACAGTTGGATTGCATCGTCTTATAATGCAAATGTAGGTAACCAAGATCACCATCCAGCGCATCGTTGATCCAGTTTGAGATATCATAGTCAGTGGTAAGCCTCCTTGCATTCCGAAGGATCCTTGTTATGCTTTTCAGTATTTTTCTTTATTAGAATGTTGTGGGGTATGTACCAACATTCATCTTAGTATTATAGAGGCTTCATAGGCAGATAGTCAATCAGATAGTCAGAGATGAGTCTCTCTTTATTTTGCATTCAGATATTCTATTTTAAGACTTAAGTGCCATTTTGGCCAAGACATTAATCTAATTTGGTTATGATAAATATTACTTGTTTTTACTATTAAGTTAAGTCTTCTGTTGAGTTATGTAAGTCGGTGAAAGGGTTCCATCAAGACCAGCTATGGTCATTGGGTGCCGGTCACGTCTAGGGTGTAGGCTCGAGGCATGAAAAGTTTGTATTAGAGCAGAAAGTTCAAGAGTCCTAAGGAGTGTATGTAGTCGTATCTATAGAGTCTTAGTCATCGGTGTGAAGCACGCCATATCCATGATTAAGAGTATAAAACATTTAGAAATTTCTTACTTCTTTCATGTTCCTTTACGTGTGTTAGAGTTCATCTCTAAAAAGTTTCTCTCTAATTCGTGTTTGCTCGTGTTTCAAATCATCATGCCTCCACGAAAAACAATTAAAGGTCGTCCAACTAGAATAAATATAGAGGAGTCAGAGGTACCTAATGCACCCGAAGTTCAACCTCAGGGGGAGGTTACCATTGCTAAGTTTCGAGAGGCTATTCCAAATGCTAAACCAAGCGGTGACTAACCAAGTCGGGCAACAAAGGGGAGCTCGACAAGAAGGGGATGACACATCTAGGGTTCGAGAATTCTTGAGTATGAATCCCCCATGTTTTTTTGGTTCAAGCACTACTGAGGATCCGAAAAACTTTATGGAAGAGCTGGTGAAGGTGTTTGTGGTAATGCATGTGGTCGATACTGAAAGGGTTGAACTAGTTGCATATCAACTGAATAATGTGGCTAGGACTTGGTTAGACCAGTAGAAGGAGGGCAGAGATGAGGATGCACTACATTTGAGCTGGTCTTATTTCAAAGAGGATTTATTCGGGTGTTTCTTTACCCAAGAATTGAAGGAGGCAAAGGTACGTGAGTTCCTTATTCTTAATAGAACTCCTTTAGTGTTCATGAGTATGGGCTGAAATTCACCCAACAGTAATGCTATGCTCTTGAGATGGTTAAATATATGAGGAGCAGAATGAGTTTTTTTGTCGATGGTTTGGGTCATGCATCTAGTAAAGAGGGTAGAGCGACGATGCTGATTGGGGACATGGACAAATCTTGATTGATGGTTTATGTGCAGCAAGTTGAAGAGGAGAAGTTAAGGGAAAGAGAGGAGTACAGGAATAAGAAATCCAAGACTGAGAATGACTTTGGGCAGCAGAAATGTGGTTTGAATCGACCACAAGGGCATGCACCATCATCTCCTAGTGCACCAGTGCCCAAAACAAAGGTGAGTATAATGGCCAGAATTCACAGAATTTCAAGGCTAGACCAGCCCAGTCCCAAGGTAGTGTGACCAGAAATAGAAGTGAGTATAATGGCCAGAATTCGCAGAACTTCAAGTCTAGACCAGCCCAGTCCCAAGGCAGTGTGGAAACATAAGTAAGTTGGGATCTTGCATGTGATAACTGTGGTAGAAACCACTTCGGTAAATTTCATGATGGGTATAAAGGTTCCTTCAAGTGTGGTCAAGAGGGTAACTTCATGAAAGAGTGCCCTAAGAATAAGCAAGGTGGTAGGAATCCAGGCAATAGAGCTCAATCTTCACCAGTTGCTCCACTAGACAAGGTCGCACCTAGAGGAGCCACTTGTAGTATTGGCGAAGGAGCAAACCATCTTTATGCAATCATTTTTGTCGCCAAGAGAAAAAGAAATCTCCTTATGTTGTCACGGTTGTGATAAAAATATTTAATTTTGATGTTTATGCTTTGTTAGACGTTGGATCAAGTTTATCTTTTGTAACTCTTTATTTTTCAAATCAGTTTGAGATTCTTCCTGAGAAAAATTGTGAACCTTTCTGTGTTTCTACACTGTTGGAGGGACTCAAGTTTTCAAATTTCAAATTTCTAATGATCCAACCATAGAGTGGAGTAGCAGTTCAGCAGTGCCTAAGGTTCATTTTATTTCGTACCTTTAGGGGAGGAAGTTAGTTTCAAAGGGTTGCATCTATCACTTAGTCAAAGTTAATGACTCAAGTGCTGAGTTACCTTTCCTTCAATCAGTTCCTATAGTAAAATAGTTCCCAAAAGTTTTTCCCAGAGTCCTTCCTGAGAGAGAAATAGACTTTGGCATAAATATCATTCCAGATATTCATCCTATATCTATTCCTCCATATAAAATGACACTAGCATAGTTAAAAGAGTTGAAAGAGCGGCTAAAATAGATGTTAGATAAAGGTTTCATTCGACCAAGTGTCTTACCTTGGAGCGCTCCGATCTTGTTTGTGAGAAAGAATGATGGTTCCCTTAGAATGTGTATAGACTACCACCAATTTAATAAGGTTACCATCAAGAATAAGTATCCTCTTCCAAGGAAGTTTATCTTTTCGACCAACTTCAGGATGCCACCTGTTTCTCAAAAATTGATCTCAGATCTGGCTATCATCATATAAGAGTTAGAGAATGTGACATTGATGACATACTAATCTATTCAAAGAAATAAGAAGATCATTCTAGACACATCAGAATAGTACTTCAAACTTTGAAAGAAAAGGAATGGTATGACAAGTTCTCCAAGTGTGAGTTTTGGCTTAAGTCTGTGGCATTATTGGGTCATACAGTTTACGGTGATGGGACTAGCGTTGCTACCGAAAATATAGAATAAATCTAGAGTTGGACTAGACCCACATCTCCCACAGATATATGGATCTTCTTGCGGTTTGGCTGGTTACTATAGAAGATCTGTTGAGGGGCTTTTGCATATCTCATTTCCCTTGACTAAGTTGACCAGAAGACAATTAAGTTTCAATGGTCTGAAGCTTGTGAGAAAAACTTTGAGGAGTTGAAAAGAAGGTTGGCTACAACTCCGGTTTTGACCTTACAAGAGGGTACTCAAAGATATGTGGTGTAGTTTGATGCATCAAGAGTTGGTTTGGGTTGTGTGTTAATGGCAGAAACATAGCCTACGCCTCTAGACAGTTTAAAGTTCATGAGAAGAACTACCCAACCCATGACTTAGAGTTGGCTCCTGTGGTTTTCTCCTTGAATATATGGCATCACTATTTGTGACGTTCATGTGGATATATTCACTGACCGCAAGAGCCTACAGTATGTGTTCACCTAGAAGGAGCTCAATCTTAGACAAAGGAGGTTGTTAGAACTACTCAAGGATTATGACATGAGCATCGTTTACCACCCAGGTAAAGCTAATGTGGTTGTTGAAGCCTTAAGCCGGTTATCTATGGGAAGTATCACCCATGTTGAAAGAAAAAAGGGAGTTAGCTAAGCATGTGCACAAACTTACATGCCTGGGAGTCAGAATAATGGATTCCACAGCAAGAGAGATACTGGTGACTAATGGGGCTGAACAATTACTAGTGTAAGAGATGAAAGAAAAAAAAGATCAAGACCCCATTTTGCTTGATTTGAAGGTGAATGTTCATAAGAAAAGAGTATTGACTTTTATAAAATGGGTAGAAGGTGTGCTGAATTACCAAGGTAGATTGTGTGTACCTAGGGTGGATGGAATCGAAAAGAGGATCATGGAGAAGGCTCATAGCTCCATATGTTTCATCCATTTGGGTTCCACCAAGATGTAACGTGATTTGAGAGAGGTGTATTAGTGGGAAGGTATAAAGAAGTACATCAGTGAGTTTGTTATCATGTGCTCAAATTTCTAGGAAGTGAAAGTAGAGTACGAAATACGTGGAGGTTTGGCTCAAAATATAGAACTTCTGGAATGGAAGTGGGAGATGATTTATATATACTTCATCACAGGCTTTCCAAGATCTCGCGGGTAGCATGTGTAACATCTCGTAACTTGAAATATTTAAGAATAAGCTAAGAAACAAAGAATAATCATTTTTGGAAATAAATAGGGAAATTTGGAAAATTTCCTAATTTTTAAAAAGTGAGTTTTGGTCATTTTCGAACAGTCATAACTCCTAGCTCACGAGGAGTTAGGGTGAGTATTGTATATGGTTGGAAAGATCTTTCCAATGGAGCCAAGTTTGTGCATTTCAATTTCGTATAAGGGAGATATGCCTTTCGGAATCTGGGTTGTTGGACTGAGGAAAGTCTAATCCGGATTTTAGTAAGGGTAAATTAGTCTCTTCACCCTAGTATTACCAATTCATTTTAAGGGTTTCTTAGAGGTAAAACCAAGTCCCAATTTATTTTTAGAAAAGTTGAGAACGCTTAGGGATTGGGGAGAAGAAAGAAGAGAAGAGGAAGATCAAGAATTCTTCAAGAACGCTAAGTTTTCGCTAGTGGAATTCATCGGAGGTGATCCCTTTAAGGTATGTGAGATATTTATGTGATGGGTTCTTCCACCCACAAAACAATATATTTAATTCAACGCAATTAGAGTAGATTGAATGATGAACATTGAAGTTCTTGATCAAAAACCATTGAACCCTTGTTGGTTGAGTTGTAGTTTAACTTTGGTTGTTTGATTCGTGTTTCCAAGATGTTTTACAAGTATCAACTATTGGGTATTGAGAATTTTAGTAATCCTAAGTGTTTGGGGTGAGATTCATGGGAGTTTAAAAGGTTTAGAATTGAAAATTGGATAAAGAAATATGGAAATCCCGTCTAAAAAGCCCTGAATCGCCGCGCCTGCCAGAGCCCCTCAGGGCAGTCTATGTCCGTTAGGCTTTGGCACCCCGCGTCTCTTAGAGCGCCAGGGTAACCTGCAGATGCCATTTTCCCTCATCTTTTCATACGAGTTCCTAAGTGATGTATCTATAGATCGTAGTTGATCCCAACACTCTAAAGTACATCTAAACATCGTGAAATCATCCATAAACATGAGATCGTGATCCTTGAATTCATAATCCAATTCAAGGAATGTTAAGATCAAGGTCCAAGAAGTTAAGAGTCAAGCCTAAAAGTTAAGATTCAAGTCAAAGTGAGTTCTTAAAGTTTTCAAAAGCCTTAAACAAACATTTTACTTTTTTTCAAGGCTCAAGCTACAAATTGAGCAAAGAGTAATGAGTTGAGTTTAAATCTCAAAAGTTATAAGAGAACTAAGTATTTCCTAAGAGTAAAGTTTCAAGTAAAGCAAAGAGCTAAGACTGAGTTCATTTCTCAAAAGCTATATGAGAACTAAGTAGTCCCTAAGAGTATAAACACTTTCACATTTGGAGAAACAAAGGAAGCTAGACTTCACAGAGCCTTTGGCTAGTTTAAGAAAATGGGAACTATGATTTTCAAGAGAGCTTTTAAAGATAAGTTTGAGCAATTACCTCAAAGAGAAGAAGTTGTTTTATAAACATATGAGCTATGTATTTTGAGAGTAGTATTGAGAACCGATATGGGGACGTGAGTTTATATCAACTCAAGTCTCCATAAACCATGTAGCCAACATGGACAGATAAAGGGTCATACTTTTTAGATGATTCCTTAGTGCTTTATAGCATAGACTAGTAGATCCACTTAGTAGTTTAGGTTCTATAACAGTAAAAAGATATAGAGCGTTTCTCTTGCAACGTGAGGTAAGACGTTATACCATCACTTAGTCTCATAGCGATGGTTGTCAGTTAGAGAATTTCCTATAGAAATTATATTACTTTCATATATAAGCAAAGTTAAGTTTGTTACTGCATTACTTTTAATGAACTAAGTGTTTATACTGTTTCTACAAGCTTTATATATATATATATATATATATATATATATATATATATATATATACTGCATGTGTCTTTACTACTTTATATTGAGTTATGACTTCTTGAGTTGAGCAGAGACAAGGTAAGTTCATTCTCAATATTTTTAAGCTTAGTAATTGTTGTTTAGCATTCCAATTTGCATACTCCTACATTAAATATACTGATGTCAGTTAGCCTGCATCGTTTAGTGATGAAGAAGTAGTTACCATGATCAACATCCAACGCTCTTTAATCCAGTTTGAGCATCTAGAGTTAGTGGTGACCCTCCTTGCTTCTGGAGGACCCTTTATTCTTTCACTATTTCCTTATAGATTGTTGAGGGTGTTTGTCTTAACATTAATCTTAGTAGTAGTAGAGGCTTCACAGACAAATATATAGTCAGTTTGGATCTCTCTTTAATTTTTAGATATACATGTATTGTTTTGAGACTTAAGTGTCATTTAGCTGAGACTATTATTTAAACTATTTTTCCTGAGTATGTTTCCAACTTTATAATTGAGTTAAGTCTTCCATTGAGTTAAGTAAGACAGAACAAGGGTTCGCTCAAGTACAACAATGGTTGTTGGGTGCCAGCCACGTCTAGGGTGTAGGCTCCGAGCGTGACAGCATTATTCTATTTGGATAATTGTCCATAGAAAGACAAAACCAACTCACTTTTTTCCGGTAAAGACTACTCATTCGGACAAGGATTATGGTAAGTTGTACAATTCAAGAAGTGGTAAGACATCATGGAGTCCCGATCTCCATTATTTTTTATAGAGGTGAACAATTTACTGCTCAATTCTAGAAGTCTTTCCAAAAAGGTTTGGGTTCAAAAGTAAACTAAAGCACTGCATTTTATCCTCAGACGGATGGACAAGAAGAGAGTACTATCAAGACTTTAGAAGATATCTTGAGGGTATGTGTGATTGATTTCAAAACGAATTGGGATGATCACATACCTTGCATTGAGTTCTCTTATAACAATAACAACCATTCGAGCATCCAAATGGCTCCATACAAATCTCTTTATGGGAGAAGATGCATATCTCCTATTGGGTGGTTCGAAGTCGATGAAGCATGGTTGATT